CCCTTTTCTGGGTATCTACCCAAAAAATTTAAAAATATTTATTTGCAGCCCAGCCGGTGTGGCTCAGTGGTTGAGCATAGTCCTGTTCACTAAAAGGTTGTGGGTTTGAATCCTGACCTGGACACATGCCTAGGTTGCAGTTTCAGTCCCTGATCAGGGCGTGTACGGAAGGCAACCGATCAATGTTTCTCTCTCTCTCTTCCTCTCCTTTTCTCTCTCTCTAAAATTAATAAAAATATATATTTTTTAAATTAGAAGATGTGGTACATATATACAAACAATGAAATACTACTCAGCCATAAGAAAAGATAAAATACTGCCATTTGCAGCAAATGGATGGATCTTGAAAATATACTAAGCAAAACAGTCAGACAGAAAAAGTTAAGAACCATATGATTTCACTCATATACGGGATATAAAACTGAAAGCAACAAATAAACAAACAAACAAAAATTCATAGACACAGACAACACTATGGTGGTTACCAGATGGAAAGAGATGGGGGGGGTAGTAAAGGGTAAAGGGGAGTTCAAATATATGGTGGTAGAAGAAGATTTGACTTTGGATGGTGGGCACATAATGCAATATACATATGATGTATCTTAGAATTGTACTCTTCACCTGAAACCTAAATAATTTTATTAACCGATGTCACCCCAATAAATTTAATTTTTTTTAATGCTGCAATGGCCCTGGCTGGTGTGGATCAGTTGGTTCTGCATAGTGCCATGCACCAAAAGGTCACCGGTTTGATTCCTGGTCAGGGCACATACCCACCAGGTTGCAGGTTTGATCCCCTCATCAGGGTGCTAAGGGGAGGCAACCAATCAATATTTCTCTCTCACACTGTTGTTTCTCTCTCTCCCTCTCCTTTTCTCTCTCTTAAATCAATAAAAACATTTTAAAAAGAGAGAGTCTAGAATTCAGGCATCTTTTATGTCTCGGCAAGGGAGGAAGAGCCAAGCAAGAGGTGGGTAGAGGCCTAGACAGCTAGACAATTAAGGGATGAAAGGGATCCAGGGAAGAGCATATTTCTAAATCCCTTTGTTCCCTGTTAGTCTGTAGTTGAGTTCTGGAGACTCTTGTAAATCTCTGATAGAGTCGTTACTTTGTGTAAATTTTCCTACCTCTTCTAGAAAGGCACCCTCTGACAAGGGTCTGCCCAAGCCTCCAGTAGAATTCCTCTAGTTAATAAGCATATCTGAAGCAGGAGCTATTAGCCTGAAGGAAGTGGAAGAAATGCAAGCTAGAATTAAGACAGAGAGAGGGAGCATTTCATTCTATTACACAAGGAATTCCTGAGAATAGAAATAAGATAAAATCAGGTGACTCAAATGAACACATAGGCAATGAATGGCAATTCACAGAAGAGGAAGCCCAAAGAGCCAATACTTTTGAAAAGATGTTCAACTTCTTTAGTAAACAAGGGAAATGAAAATTAAAACCACAATATGATACTATCTCATACTCATATGCAAAATTTCACAAGTCTGAGGACTCACTGTGAATTGGGTTCCCCGGAGAAGCAGAGCATCAGGCAGGTCTGTGCCCTGAGCTGGCAATTCCATGCTGGTTTTCCAATCCTGACAGCCACCCAAGGTAAGAAATGTGTTGTACAAAACCACCCATTACAAGCACGCGAAACTGAACAGGAAGTTAACGAAACAGTAATTACCCTTCCAACTTGCAATGCACTTTTAATTTTCTGTTCATTCTATTTCACAACTGACTGGATTGTTTTCAATACCCCCTAATGCGTTGCCAACCCCAGTCTAAGAAGTACTCCTTAGAGGAACATCCACTTGTAAATTAAAAAAACATGTGCAAGGCTATTTGTGGAAGCATTTTTTCCCATCAATAGGGAAATGGATAAATGAACTGGGCATAATCGTCTAAGGAATGACTAAGCAGTGGTTAAAATGAATGAGATGTATAGGCATCAAAGAGGAAAGATCTCAAAAACAGTAAGTGAAAAAGGAAAGTGACCGAATAATAGCTATAAAATAATAGCATTAATATAGCATTTATTTTCAAATCCATCACACAATATTATATGTTGTTTGGCCACATAGATAGTAAAAATATAAGAACAAGACCTAGAAGGTCCTCGCCCATTCATGGTGGTAGCTGGTTCCCTGGGGCAGTCAATGAGGGAAAGAGGAAGTCAGAGAGAATGCCAACTTCATCTGTAATGGTTTCTTCTTTTCTTACTTTCAAATAATTTAAAGCAATAACGACAAAGTGCTAACATTTGTTTATTTAGGGTGGTAGATACCTAAGGTTGAGAACAAGCCAGTCAAGCAAAGATCTGAAAGAAGAGTGATCCAGGCCCAAAAATAACAATGCAAGGGCCCTGAGGTAACTGAGGCAACCGTGGCATGTTCCAGGAACAGCAGAGGCCTGGTGAGGGAGTGGGGAGGAGAGAGATTAGGGGTGAGCTTATTAAGAAATTTAGATTTCAGGTTTTATGCAGAAAAGCAAGTTCATCAAAAAAATTTTTTTAATGTTTTTATTGATGTTTTAGAGAGATGGAGAGAGAGAAACATAGAAGAATCAACATTGACTGGCTGCCTCCTACACCCTCCCCCACCCCCCCACCCCCCACTGAGGATCAAGCCTGCAACCCAGGCATGTGCCCTGACAGGGAATTGAACCAGTGACTTCTTGGTGGATAGGTCGATGCTCAGCCACTGAGCCACACCAGCCAGGCAAGTTCATCAAATTTATACTGTAAAAACATTCCAGTTGGGTATTGTTTTTTTAACTATTGAATCAGAGTAATAAAGAAATACATGGCCCGGCCAGTGTGGCTTACCTGGTTGAGCACAGTCACATACACCAAGAGGTCGCTGGTTTGATTCCCAGTGGCGGCACATGCCCAGGTTTCTGGCTCAATTCCCAGTAGGGGGCATGTGGGAGACAGCTGATGTTTCTACCTCTCTCCCTCTCCCTTCCTCTATCTCTAAAAGAATAAATCAATAAAGACTTTTTTTTTTTAATCCTCACCTGAGGACTTTTTTTTGCATTTATCTTCAGATAGAGCGGAAAGGAGAGAGAAAGGGAGAGAGAGAGAAACATCAATGTGAGAGAGACACATCGACTGGTTGCCACCCACACGACCCCAACGGGGCCGGGGACAAACTGCAACCGAGGTAAGTGCCCTTAGCGGGAACTGAACCTGGGACTCTCTGACTCAGGCAGATGCTCTAACCACTGAGCCAAACCGGCCAGGGCTAATTATTATTATTATTTTTTTAATAAAGACATTTTTAAAAAAGAAAAAGATAAAGAAGTACATGGTGGTGGGGTGTTATAGCGCTAATCTCTTTTTTTGTGTGTTTGAAATTTTCCAGAAAAATTTTAAAATTATAATCAACAGTACCTCTGGCTGCTGAGAGGAAAATGAACTGTGGGTGGGAGCAAAAGGGGAGGCAGGGAGGCCAGTGAGAAGGCTGCTGCAGGGGTCTGGTCCAGAGAAAAGAGTAGATGAGACCAGACTGGCAGAAGTGGAGGGAAGAGGCCACAGGGTGTGCTGATGGACAGAATGTGAAACCAGAGAAAACTGGCTTGGGCTGAGCTCCTAGGTGCATAGTGGTTTAGGGATTCTGCCAAAACAGGATGCTGAGGAGGGGCAGATTTGAAAGTGTGGAAAAAGGGAGCTGGGCCTGGCAGGAATGGTTCAGTAGTTGAGCATCGACCTATGCACCAGGAGGTCGCTGGTTCGATTCCTGGTCAGGGTATATGCCGGGGTTTCGGGCTTGATCCCCAGTGGGAGATGTGCAGGGAGCAGCTGACTGATGTTGATGTTTTTCTCTCATGGATGTTTCTATCTCTTTCTCCCTCTCCTTTCCTCTCTCTTTATAAAATTAAAAATAAAAAAAAAATAAAGAAAAGGGAGCTGGTCTGGGTACATTGCCAGGGAGAGGACTGTGGCCTCCAAGGGGAGCTGTCAGGTAGGTGCTCAAGTCCAGAGTTCAGGGGAGAGTCAGGGCAAGGAGCCACCTCTTTGGGAATGACTGGAATATAAATACCAGTTAAAATCACAGGACTAGATGAGATCACCTACGAAGTAGCTGTTGTTAGAGAGGAAAAGAGGGCCCAGGACTGAACCCAGGGGCTCTCCAACATTGAGGTGGAGGAGGAGGCTGGAAAAAAAAAAAACAGAAGGAGCAGCTTCTGGGATAGGAGGAAACCAGGAGGAAAGGAAGTTGCTCTCTTATCCCCCAAACCCCACAACCTGGCAGCCCCAAGGCAGCCCCTCCACGGCAGCCCTGACACCGCTCGGGACTCCAGCTCTCACCTGAATAATGGCCACAGCCTCAGGACTTGCAGGTTGTCGACTCTCCTTCTGGAGCCATCTTCGTAAAATGCAGGCCTGATGCCAGCACTCCCCATAGCTCACTCGGTAAGACACCAAGCCCCAGCCTGGGGACCACACTCCTCACAGCCTGTCCTGCAGCAGCCGCAGGGGCGGATCAGACACAGACTCAGCACAGCACACCGTCGCCTCCACCCCAGGGGCAGGCGCTGAGGCTAGCACCAACAGCCTTTCCCTTCTCCCTCCTGGCTGAAGGCAGCCTTCCCTTCCCTCGCGGAGCCTGGCAGTGCCAGACCTCACTTTCCCAGCATCTGGGGCTTTTGGAAAAATATTCAGCATCACCATCACCCCCCCCTCCACCCCCAAAGACAAAGAGACACCAGAAGACAAGGCCCATTCCCAGCCTGCCTTGGGGCTTTGTACGTGAGGACACACGAATGTCTGAGTTGCTTCCACATCTTGTGTCCGGAAGTTGCCAACACAGCAAACCCAGCGTGGCACATGGAAGAATGGAGCTGGGGTCCATGGTGAAGTCCGTGGGCCAGTGGGCCAAAGGGCCAGCGTTGGTACTGCTGACCACTGGGATTCCTATCAGAAAAGGTAGCACACTCCTACTATATAAAGGACCTTGGGGAGGGTGTTGGACACTTGTATTCAGAAGCATTCTCACACGTGCACGTACACGCCCCTCACTGCCTGGTCCACTGGAAGATGTGCTGTCCCCAGAACACATGCCCACTAGCAGCGCCATGTCACCCACTCACTCTGGCACGACTCTCACCTCTCCTCAGCCACCCACAGCCATTGGCCTTCAGCTTGTACATCTGTGAGACGGGACAATAGTTTTGAAACATGAACTGCTGATTTTTTTATTTTATGTTTTTAATAAAATGTCTTGTTTTATTTTTATTTTTTAATTTTTTAATTTTTTAGAGAAAGAAGGACAGAGAGAGAGATAGAAACATCGATTGGCTGCCTCCTGCACGCCCCCTACTGGGGTTCACGCCTGAAACCCGGGCATGTGCCCTGACCGGGAATTGAACCAGGACCTCAGTCCATGGGAGGACCCTCAGTCCACTGAGCCACACCGGCTGAGCCGAACTGCTGCTTTTACTACCTCTCCTCACTCCCAGACTATTTTGTTTTCCAACCCTTCCCCCAACTGTGGCAGCAGCCTGACCAGGTGTTATCCACTGCCACGGGACAGGAGCATTTTCAGCAAATGACAGAAAAAGCTGCTGGGTTCCAAAAATTTAGGGATTGAGGATTAGAGGAAACAAAAACACTTGATGAGTCAGAGAAAAGCTTCCTGCCCCGAGGCTAGAGCAGGTTCCTGGGCTCAGGAGGAAGATAAATGGAGCAGGCTGGGCGGAAAGAGAAGTCAGTGGGGCCGTGGTCCACACACGGAAGGAGCAGAGCAGCACCGGACACCACCAGCCCCCACTAATGTCCCTCATGGCAAGTCTCATCCTCCACCAGGGCCCAGAAACCATCTTTTAGGAGCCATGCTGGTGCCCACAAACTGTGCAGCCCCAGGCAGTGAGCAGGACACCACTGAAGGGCTAAGAGGGCAGATATGCAGGCATCCCAAGGACCCCCACCAGGGCCTCTCCTGGAGCAATCCAAGACACCGTCTGATGTCCCAACAGGACTGCCTCTACTGGGGCCATGCCCTTACATTTCTCACTACAACATCTCCATACCACCCACACCCCCTCTTGCCCAAAGGAGTGGTCCTGGACACCGAGAGCAGGGGGGTGGCTTGGAAAGAAAGCCTGCACAGGGACACAGGAGATAGTGGAGAGCCTGAATGGAAGAACACACCTCCCCTGGGTTGGAGTCGGGCTGTTTCTGACTCATCTCAGTAACTTTAGTGCCCAGCCCAGGGTCTATAAAACAGTAGGTGCACAATAAATTTTTATTGGCCTAAATGAAATGTGATGCTGCAGAGATGGGACCTGCACAGTCAGTTGGCTGAGCTCTCCTCCATCCCTAGCCTCCCCTTCCCCACTCACCTTTTAGTGACGACTCAGAGGCAGCCATGTGACCCAGTCTGGCCAATAGGATAAAATAGAAGTCATGGGGTGGAGCGTCCAATAAGCTTTTGTGATGATGAATAGACTCAGCTGGTCTGGCTTTTTGCCCTTTCCCCTTAGTCCTGTCTGCAGGTGTAGCAGCCAAGGCAGCTGTGAGGACAAAGGCCTCTATGCAAAAGGTGACAGAGGAAAGATGACAAAAGCCTGGGTCCCTGATGGCATAACTGAGCACCAGACCCTACTGTCCAGTCTCAGATTCCTTTTTTAGACCAGTAAATCTCTAAGTCACTGTCAAGCAGCAGGTGTTCTTTTATTTGCAGCTGAATACAAAATGTTCACACATATTCAGCTTTGGACTATTACAGATTTGGGTTTAGATCCACTCTCTCAAAACTGCTCTTATCGAAGTCACTAGATTAACTTAAGGAAATGACAATAGCTATTGTAATAAACAAATCCTTAAATCTCAGTAGCTTAACACAATGAAAGTTTATTTCTTGTTCATGTTGTTAACCTAAAAGTAAAAGGCCAAAGTGAGAGGCAACAAGCATTTATTTGAGATTGAAAAAAAATAAAAATAAAAGCTATTGACCTAAGAAATATCCAAACCTGTAGAAAACTTTTTTTTTCTTTATTGATTTTAGAGAGAGAGGAAGGGAGAGGGAGAGAGAGAAACATTAATGAGGGAGAACATTATTTGACTGCCTCCTGCATGACCCCACTGGGGATCGGGCCCACAACTTGGGCATGTACCCTGATCAGAAATCAAACTGGTGACCTCTTGGTGCTTGGGTCAACACTCAACTGAGCCACACCGACTGGGCCCTGTAGAGAATTTTTATAAGAATTTATTTGAGCCAAATTGACGAAATATGCAGCAAGCAAGATCTCAAATGCTCCCCAAAATGATAGCTTCCAGTTTCTTTTTAAGAATTTTATTTTATTTTATTGACTTTTAGAAAAAGAGGAAGAGAGAGGGAGAAAGAAACATCAACGTGAGAGTGAAACATAGATCTGCAACCAGGGCATATGCCCTGACTGGGAATCCAGCTGGCAACCTATTAGTGCACAGGATGGCATCCAACCAACTGATCCACACTGGCCAGGGCTTGCAGTTTCTTTTAGGCCTTTGCTCCATAGGAGGGAGTGGAAGGAAGATCACATGAGGGCAGGAGAAAGCAAGGTGGGACTAGATTACAGGAGAGTTAATGAGATTATGTGTTTGCTTGAGGGTGGTCCCCTTTAGAAGGAGGGGCCTGAAAGAATGGTCAAATACTGTATTAGGATCCTCTGAAGGGGGACATTTCAAAGGCATGTTAATCTGTTTAGACACACAAAACAATGGACAGGGCTTGCTTAAGGCAAAGATAAGCCTTTCACTAGAGAAGTTGTACCTGGGGTGTGACTACCCACCATGACCTGCACAGTTAGGAATTTCATGTAACTTTCCACAGAACCTCTTTTTCCATCCACAGAGCTATTGTACACTGATTTAGGTAGAAACTCAAATAGTGTTTCAATTAGGAAGCGAAAGCAAGAGGTATTTATGAGAAGGGGAAGGGGATATGTACATGAACAAAAGGAAGGAATTTCTATAGGTGCAAATAAGCTAACATTCTAAAGAATATCTTTAACTTTCAGTTCAGTAGTCATGTCTGATTTGTTATTAGCTTTACAAATAGCAGTTTGGAATATTATACTGCTTTAGGCCCAGTCCAAAAGTTATTTTGTCCACTTTTATTTTTTTAACTTATCTTTATTGTTGAATGTATTACAGATGTTCCTCATTTTTCTCCCATTGACCCCCTTCTCCCCACTCCCACCCCCCTTCTGCCTTTTCCCACTCTGTTGTCTGTGTCCATTGGTTATGCATATATGCATTGTAAGGAGGCCAGGCGCCGCCGGTGGGAGGTGGGAAGAAACCAGAGAGCCAAACTGCCGAATAAGCAGAAATCGGGCTTTATTGGGTACACTCCGGGCGGGTTCACAGACTCCAGGGGTCGAGTCCGAGAAGCCGCGCCCGATGCTGGGGTTTGTGATTTTTATATCTGCGCCTATGGCAGCGGGAACTTGTTGTTAGGGTTAGGTCCTGAGGGGCTACGCATGGGGGCCCCTGGAATGTGAGTCTATTGTCCCGGAGCAAAGAGTTCCTGGACTAGGACAGGAGAATGGGACAGGAGTTGATCTATGAGTTGGGGGAAAACAGTTCCTGAAACAGGGTGGGAGTCTGGGTTGGGTAAGCGAGGTAATGGCTGAGCAGCTTGCCTGGCGCCAGTTCCCAGGCTATCGGACATGCATATGAGTTCTTTGGTTTATTTCTTCCCACCCCTCAAACCCCCTTCCCTTTGAGGTTTGTCAGTCTAACAACCAATTTGTACTTCTTAATCCCTTCACCTTTTTCGCCCATTCCCCCAACCCCTCTCCCATCTGGCAACCAACAAAATGTTCTGTGTATCTATGAGAATGTTTCTGTTCTGCTTGTTCATTTTGTTTGTAGATTCAACTGTTGATAGATATGTATTCATTGCCATTTTGTTTGTTCATATATTTTATCTTTTTATTCAAAAAGACCCTTCAACATTTTGTATAATAATGGTTTGGTGGTGATGAACTCCTTTAGCTTTTCCTTGTCTGGGAAACTCTTTATATGGCCATTGATTCTAAATGACAGCTTTGTGGGATAGAGTAATCTTGGTTGTAGGTTCTTGCTTTTCATCACTCTGAATATTTCTTGCCACTCCCTTCTGGCCTGCAAAGTTTCTTTTGAGAAGTCAGCTGACAGTCTTATGGGAGCTCCCTTGTAGGTAACTAGCTACCTTTCTCTTGCTGCTTTTAAGATTCTCTCTTTGTCTTGAACCTTTTGCATTTGATGATGATGTGTCTTGGTGTGTGCCTCTTGGAGTTCATCTTGTTTGGGACTCTCTGTGCTTCCTGGACATGTATGTCTGTTTCCTTCACCAAGTTAGGGAAGTTTTCTGCCATTATTGTTTCAAATAGGTTTTTGATTTCTTGTTCTCTCTCTTCTCCTTCTGGCACCCCCAAGATGTGAATGTTGGCACGCTTGAAGTTGTCCCAGAGGCTCCTTACACCATTCTCATTTTTTGGATTCTTTTTTCTTTTTGCTATTCTGATTGGGCGTTTTTTGCTTCCTTATATTCCAAATCAATGGTTTGCTTCTTGGCTTTACCTACTCTACTATTGAATCTGTGTAAATTATTCTTTATTTCAGTTAGTGCCTCCTTCATTTCTGACTGGTCCTTTTTCTTTTTCTTTTTAATCCTCACCCGAGGACATTTTTCCATTTTTTGTTCAGATAGAGCTGGAGGGAGAGAGAGGAAGAGAGAGAGAGAGAGAAACATCTACGTGAAAGGGACACATAGAGTGGCTGCTACCCGCACAACCTAACCAGGGCCGGGGACAAACTGCAACTGCGATACATGCCCTTAGCGGGAACTGAACCTGGGTCTCTCCGGACCGCAGGCCGATGCTCTAACCGCTGAGCCAAACCGGCCAGGGCCTGACTGGTCCTTTTTTATGCTCTTGAGGCCCTCACTAAGTTCGCTGAGGTTCTCACTAAATTCATTAAGCATCCTTATAAGCAGTGTTTTGAACTCAGCATCTGTTAGGTTGCTTATCTCCATTTCGCTTAGTCCTTTTCTTGGGGTTTTGTTCTGTTTTTTCATTTGGGACCTGTTTCTTTGTCTCCTCATTTTGG